ACTGTGTAGCGGAAAAAACATTTTAAATCAATTATATATATATATATATATATATATATATATATATATATATATGAAGAAATATAGTCTAAAGTGTGCTATATTCATGGGATAAAGTGCTCAATATCAGAGATAGAGCGTGTGTAAATATAAAAGTGAACATAGAAGTCAACACTTAGAGGCGACAGTCTGTTTCATGCTAGATGCAATCTTCTGGCCTGACGATTGCATCTAGCATGAAACAGACTGTCGCCTCTAAGTGTTGACTTCTATGTTCACTTATTATATATATATATATATATATATATATATATATATATATATATATATATATATATACTACTCTCCCTAATTTATCGCTATCAAGTAATGTATATATTTATCCCTTGGGTCTGCAGATAACCATAAAATATTTAGGAAGGATATTCGAATAATACAGAAACCATACTCGGAACAGGCTGCACGAGATGTAGTTTTGTCCAACATTTCAAGGTGCCACAAACCAAAATGTTAACGTAAGAACTCAAGTCTTGAATGGCTCTCGGATGAAAAATAAGAAACTATTAACCTTCAGGAGGGTCCCTCGTTGCACCTTCTCAAGTTAATGTTCTCAGCTGACATGAAGCCGAAAAATTATATTGAATTAACTGCTAGGTCTGGTGTTAGGCAAGTTGGTTCACGATGTCGTGCGAAACAATTTTCTCTCTCCAGAATCTAACAAATTTATAAGTCTACCATTCGTCCCCGCATTGAATATTACTGCCACATCTGGTCGGGTGCTCATGTTACATTTAGAGATTCTTGATAAAATCCAGAAGAATCTTCAATGTATTTGGTCCTGGCCTGGTATCCCGGTTTCAGCCACTTTTCCACTTTCCTCTGTGTTATTTTTATTTCCCCCTCACCAACAGATAAATTGTACATATTGGGAACTATTTAGGACTTCATAGAGACCCTGGGGTATTGTGGTGACTGTAATAAGAATGGTAAGTAAGAATTTGTTGTTTTTGTTTAAGGAATTCTCTGGTATATCTGGGTCCGTAATTGTGGCTGGAAAATTTTCATTATAACAGTTTGACAGTTTGAAGACCATCCCGGTGCCACAGTTCTTGTAATATCACAAGAATAAATATCATTTTCGTCTATGGTACCTTGAGTTTATGAATTTTGAGCGCAGTACTAGATTAGCAGCAAGGTCTCATCATTTTATAGTTGAAATGGCTAGATGTAACCGCAAGTTCTACATTAACAGTTTCTTCTATCACACTTCTTGTGGAACTCTCTTCCGGCTTTTTATTTCCCAGTCAACTTTGATCTTCTGCTTTCTTAATTTCTGATCTTTTATTGTGTTTAATAATATTTTTCTTTTTTCACATACTCTCTAAAACTTAGCAACCCCTTAAGTTTTAGTGGCTTTATTGCCTTGCTTAGGGTAAAATTATTGAGAAAAAATGTCCTGTAATAGTTAAGGAAAAGATGTACAAGTAGTAGTCTAATGAAATCGAGAGTCTTTGAACTTCATCAGTATATGACAGCTGAGCACTTACAGATAATTCGTCCCATGAGTCGTCCGGTTGATAATGGGGGGTGGGAAATTCCCAAGCCGCAATTACGTCTGTGCTGTAGCAGTCTGGTAAAAACCCGTAATTATCGCCCTGCCATACAAACACTGGTCATTGATATCTTTGCGTGTACACACACAAACACGCACACACACAAACACGCACACACACATACACACACACATACGCACACAAAAACACGCACACACAAAAACACACATAAACACAAACAAACGCAAACATACAAATACACAGAGAAACACACACACACGCATGCACACACAAACACACACAGACGCACAAACACACGTACATAAAACACACACACAAACGCGCACACACATAACACACACATACACACACATATACACATACACTCACGCACACAAAAACACGCATACACACAAACACACGCAAACATACACATAAACTTACACAAACGCAAACATACACAGAAACACACAGAAGCACACACACGCGCGCGCACATATATACACACAATACACACGCACAAACACACACATAAACACGCACACAAACGCAAACATACACTCAAACACACACGCAAACACTCACACACACACACAAAACACACAAACGCACAAGCAAACAGGCACACACGCACACAGACATACACACACCGCCCAGGAATCGTGTCAGGTGATTTCACCAGGAACTCTTGTGGTATGGAAGACATAACTTCTTGTAATCGCCCCTCAAACACTAATATTCCATGGTTATAATTTATTATATTGGAATTTGTAGGTCTGATGAATTGGATCGTGATTACGATACCAATGTAATAAATTATAGCCATGGAATATTAGTGTTTGAGCCTTTTATATTATATTCTTACTCTCTCCTGGACATTTAGCTCTACCTGGATTCTATCCTCTTTATATATATATATATATATATATATATCAAAGCTTCCGATCAGGGCCGGCTCATCTTACCACCGAAAACCCCGATCGGTTTAAGGCGTTGTGACATCTGCCATTTTTTTCAGCACTGTTTTATGGCCATCCGCCATTTTTAAAAATTATTTTTAAACTGACGTTACATTGTTATTCATCAACTAATAATATACATCGTGTATTTGCATGGCCGGTGCGGTGCGTACTACGCAGAAACCCCCCGACGAGGTTGGAGTCCCTAAAAGGGCAATTTTCAGCAGCATTCTTTTTTTTGCTTTTTGTACTTTTTACTTTTTGCTTGTTATATTGTCAATCATCAACTGTAATAATTATCAAGGCCGCCGATGCTTATTACCCCGGACCTCACAACCGCGTGGGGACCCCATGCCTACTGGGGTGTGGGGACAGAAGTATTGATTTCAGTAGCGCTTAATTTTTTAAATTGTAGTTTTCTTTCTGAACAGTTCTTTTAAATCAATTAAGAGGGGAATATATCTCGGTAAAATCATTTTTTATTCCGAGATCATCCTCTGAGGATTTCTGATTTTGTTTATTAATAGTAATACTAACAGAAGTCCATGGTTAGTAATTAAAATAAAATTTCTAGTCCCTATTTTTTACATTTTTAGAAAGATTAAAACAGAGAAAATGATCGCTTAAAAATAAAAATGATTAAAGATTTTAACGTGTGAAAAAATTTACCGAAAATTGAAATACTGTTTTTTAAAAAAATTTTTTAAGACAATCCCGTTTATGCTGTGTTGGAATCTTTGAAAAACTTTTTTTTTTAGAGGAGATGCATTGGCGATTAATTTTTATGGAAATATAAAAAATTGCGATTTAAACATTTTTTTCGAGTAAAATTTAGTCATGAAAATATTTCTGGTTATTACAAAAAGAATAACATTTTTTTCAGATATTTTAAGATAAAAAAATCTATTCATTATAAAAGTAAATAATAAATGAATATGCAATGAAACTTTCCTTTAAATTGGATAATTCTCTGATTTTTGGGAATTAAAAAAGGGCTACCTTTCCTATCTCCTAATTTTGCTTCCTGGGTTTGTGGCCCCCAGGTTGGGAAACTTTGAAATCGACATATAGTAGAGAGGAGAGACTCATACCAAATTTCGGATTTGAGTCCCGCTTCCGCAAATAAATCCTTATATATTTATATATAAATGTCTCACGTTGTTGTTATGATGTATATCTGTATATTTGTTGCTATGATGCATATCTGTATATTTGTTGCTATGATGTATGTCTGTATATTTGTTGCTATGATGTATATCTGTATATTTGTTGCTATGATGCATATCTGTATATTTGTTGCTATGATGCATATCTGCATATTTGTTGCTATGATGTATGTCTGTGTATTTGTTGCTATGATGTATATCTGCATATTTGTTGCTATGATGTATATCTGTATATTTGTTGCTATGATGCATATCTGCATATTTGTTGCTATGATGTATATCTGTATATTTGTTGCTATGATGTATATCTGCATATTTGTTGCTATGATGTATGTCTGCGTATTTGTTGCTATGATGTATATCTGCATATTTGTTGCTATGATGTATGTCTGTATATTTGTTGCTATGATGTATGTCTATATATTTGTTGCTATGATGTATATCTGCATATTTGTTTCTATGATGTATATCTGTATATTTGTTGCTATGATGCATATCTGTATATTTGTTGCTATGATGCATATCTGCATATTTGTTGCTATGATGTATGTCTGTGTATTTGTTGCTATGATGTATATCTGCATATTTGTTGCGATGATGTATATCTGTATATTTGTTGCTATGATGCATATCTGCATATTTGTTGCTATGATGTATATCTGTATATTTGTTGCTATGATGCATATCTGCATATTTGTTGCTATGATGTATGTCTGCGTATTTGTTGCTATGATGTATATCTGCATATTTGTTGCTATGATGTATGTCTGTATATTTGTTGCTATGATGTATGTCTATATATTTGTTGCTATGATGTATATCTGCATATTTGTTTCTATGATGTATATCTGTATATTTGTTGCTATGATGCATATCTGTATATTTGTTGCTATGATGTATGTCTGTATATCTGTTGCTATGATGCATGTCTGTATATTTGTTGCTATGATGCATATCTGTATATTTGTTGCTATAATGCATATCTGTATATTTGTTGCTATGATGTATGTCTGTATATTTGTTGCTATGATGTATATCTGCATATTTGTTGCTATGATGCATATCTGTATATTTGTTGCTATGATGTATGTCTGTATATTTGTTGCTATGATGTATGCCTGTATATTTGTTGCTATGATGTATGTCTGTATATTTTACTAACCACAAAAAAGGTGTCACACAAGGCCCATCATAAGAAATAAACTAGGGAAAACTTTTACAAATTATAAAAATCATATCCATGAACATAAAAGAAACCTTAGACACAACAAATAGAATAAAGTTAGTGGTGAATGTTTTAAGATGTTCAGTCCCCTTAGATCATGCAACCCGCCCAGATCATATGTAAAGCCAGTGTCAAGGGGTGAATATATGTATTGGTTTTAATAGGCTGCGTACATATGTTTAGCGCGAGATCACTTTAGGATTGGTTTCTTGAGTCACTTCAAACTCACGCTTTGTGACAGATTATCAAAGACTTTCCGTTCAGGTTCTCTGCAATCTCAGTAAACACGGGCCTTTTATCTGTCGTTTGTGAGTTTTAATAAACTTTCGCTTTTCCACACACACACAAGAAATGGTATTACTATGATTGCAAACATCAGATGCCCGCTGTTTAACACAAATGATGAAATTATATGTTCGTTTCTTTAGCCTATCGGAGTAATATATGCATACGTATATATATATATATATATATATATATATATATATATATATATATATATATATATATATATATATATGTGTGTGTGTACACACACATTGGGGAAACAAATATTCGTACACATAAATTTTTTAATTTATTGTATTACCAACTAATGAATAAACATACTTTTCTGATAATTAACTGTACACAGATACATAATAAATAAATATGCATAGAAAACAGACAAAAATTGATTTAATAGAAATAAATTTCATTTATCCATTTTAATGGGTGAAAAAAGTATTCGTACAATACAAAAAAGAATATATAATCTTCATTTAATACTTTCTAGAATAGACATTATTCACTTCTGCAGTAACTAACCTCTTCTTTTAGGTCTCAATTAATGATTCACAAATTTTAATTGGTGTTTTGTTCCATTCTTCTTCGTATATGGTCTTCAGATCCGGGATGTTTTTGTAGCTCTCGATTGGATTTGAATTTTCAAATAAGGCCGCAGATTCTCGATTGGGTTTAAATCTGGGGACTGACTTGGCTATTTCAGGATATTTAAGTTATTTTCAGCAAGCCATTTTTCGTAGATTTTGCAGTGTGCTTAGAATAATTATCTTGTTGGAAGATCCAGTCAAAAGGATGTTCAAGATTTTCAACCGAAATCATTAAATTTGCTTCCAAAATATTTTGATATGCTGCGGTCATTCATTCTACCATCTATTACTGATATATTGCCAGTACCTTTTGCAGAAAAACACCCCCAAACCATGATGCTGCCACCACCAAATTTCACTGTTGGAACTATGTTCTTTTGCTTGAAGGCATCGCCATCTTTCCTTCATACATGATTTCTAGAATTAGGTCCAAGCAACTCAAATTTGGTTTTGTCTGTCCATAATACTCTTTTTCAATACGATTTTTCCTTATCCTTATGTTCACGAACAAATTTCAACCTGACATCTCTGTGTCTTTTCAATATCAGTGGAGCGTGACTTTAGATTATTCTTAAGAATTTCATTGCTTATTGTCCGTTAAGTGGCACAGATTCTTGATGAAAGCAAATCATTCTCCAATTCTTGACGTGTAACCGTTGAATTTTGTTTATTTTGACGCATTAATTTTCTTGAAGATCTTGAAGAAATCTTCCGTGGAACACCTGTTCTTCTTTGGTTTTCAACAGTTTTGAGATTTTATACCTTGTAATGAATGAACTAATGACAATAAATGGAATATTCAGGTTGTCTGAGATTTTCCCGTAACTTTTGTCTAATTTACAGAGCTGAACAATCATTTTTTTTTTTTGTGAATTTGTCAATTTTTTACATCTTGCCATGAGGATAACCTTGCGCTAATATCAATTACAGAGTGTTCAGTTTGTAATTTTTAGGCTAAAATTAATTACTGATAACGTTATTGGAACATTCTAGAATATTCCACTTGAATAATCTAGAGTATTAAAGCAATTTAATAGTTTTACAATCTGAAATTTACATTGTACGAATACCTTTTCATCCATAAAAATGGATAAATGGGATTTATTTCTATTAAATCAAATTTTTCTATGCATTTTTAGTTATTATGCATCTGTATGCAGCTAATTATTTGAAAAGTATGTTTAGTCATTAGTTTTATATATATATATATATATATATATATATATATATATATATATATATATATATAAATCTAAAATATAAACAGACATAATACATCTGAATTTTATATATATATATATATATATATATATATATATATATATAAAATTCAGACGTATTATGTCTGTTTATAAACTAAAATATAAACAGACATATACGTCTGAATTTTTATATATATATATATATATATATATATATATATATATATATATATATATATATTAATTCAGACGTATTTGATTGTTTATATTTTAGTTTTAATTTTTCAAGTCCACGAATTATATTTCTTGGTGGCTGTAGAAAATTGACTAAAGAAAATTCCCAAATTTTCTTTCAAATAGTTTTTATTTTCTCAAGTACTTTCAGTCACATCTGAGATCATCTTCAGGCATTGCATATCTATGGATGTGTTATGCGTTAACACCGTAAATTCAATTTTTTTTATTTGTATGCAAGGCAGGTAACTTATGTGATTTTTAGAAGTTTTTAAAAAAATATTTAAAGATTTTTAATTGTAGTATTTTTTTTTATATAACACTTTGTTGCTACAAACATTTAAGAACTTGGTTGCTATAATCGTAATTGACTTTATTTATTTCCGACTAATATCTGTCTAAATTGTGAATGCGGACATGAGTGTTCCTTTAAATGTTCTGAGAGTGAACTATAATCGTTCAAGTGATACAGTCGAAAATACATCAGCGATCTCTCAAGATGTTAATAAGACAAAACTTAAAATTCTGGTAGACCTTTGTAGATGAGAATTGCGCCTAAAAATAAAGTTAAGTACGAGTAAAGCAACGAAGTTCTTAAATGTTTTCAGCAGTAAAGTGTTATATAAAAATGCTAAATTAATATACTACACTTAAAAAAAAAAAAAAAAAAAAATTAAAATATATTTAAATCTCTTAAAAAAATCCCTTAAGTTACCTCCCTTGAACAAAGATAACAAATATATTGAATTTAGGGTGTTCACCGACAACACATATGCAACTCCTGAAGATGGTCTTAGAGGAGATTGAAAGTACTTCGGAAAATAAAAGTTATTTGAAAGAAAATTTTGGAATTTTTCTTAATCAGTTTTCTACAGTCACCAAGAAATCAATTCGTGATCTTGAAAGGATTAAAACTAAAATAAGTAGACATAATACGTCTAAATTTTATATAATACGGTATTTTAAGTGGATATATTTTTATCGAATTCACCCCATATCAGGTAGTAAAACCCCAAGACACAAGGGGAGAATAAGAAAAAGGAGAAACATTATTAAGGAGAGGAACAATAGAAGAGTATTCAAGAAGACAGTAGATAATGATTGACATTGTATTTAAATTTTTGAAGACCAAAGTTGGCTGGAAAGAAGTTCCACAAGCGAGAAGTGCGAGAGAAGAAACTATTAGTCGAGAACTTACGGTTACATGTAGCCAACACATGTGTAAATTGGTGAGACCTCGTTGTCAGTCTATTACTACCCGCATTTGAGTAGAGGCTCCGTTATATTTTAAAATTTATTTATATAGTCGACCAGCGATATTTAAGATATAAACAGAACGTCCACTCAAATACGGACATCCACAAAAAAAACCTTTGATATTATAAAAAATATGGCGGAATAAAAAAATAAAATCTATTAAATCTGAACAATAAAGTGTGTGAGACTCACCTTCACAAGGATGTTTCTAACTAGCGTCCAGTTGGCTAACAAAAATAAAAAGGGTTGTAACTCAATATATTTCCCTCTTTTGAATAGTCACAGTATGCTTGATATTTATTGAGTATTCCACACTGGAATCACCAGCCAATCAGAACTTACAGAATAGACTTGCCCGGGTAACAGAATGGAATCTCCCAGGCTGTTATATAAATGTCATACCATATACCTATTCTATGGTAATGGACTCTCCCATAGACAATAAGTAGCAGTTGCGAGTTCAGTTCAGTGGTGTTGAGCGAGTCAGTCGATATCGGACATTGAAGTACCAACCATCACAACTAGATTGCTGCGTCATTAACTCTTATTTTCCAAGTTCCTAACGTTTTGTACGTCGAACCTAATTTAGGACGACTTATTGAAATACAAGCCACCCACTGTGAAAACTACTCCACAACAATAAACCAACTACCAATTTTCCCAGCAGATTGACTTTCTCAGTCAGACTCGACTTCTATTACAGTCGAGTACTGTCTGTTGCTATTACCAGACTCTACAAAATCTTTCGAAATATCAACAACACCAAAATAATAACAAGTCAAAAAAAAAAAAAAAAAAACGAAAACAAAGCAAAAAAATTATGAAAAATTTTTGTTCTTTAAAATATAAAATTTACTGCAGAGTCTTGTTTCTACTTTCATGCGCTATATCCTCTCAGGATGAGTTTAATCATAGCTCTCCACAACTTCCTGTCTTTTGTTGCTCCGAATTTCTTCCCAGTCATACCCCTTAATTGCCTTTGTGGACCTCGTTTCTTCATCCATTTATACAAACTCGTTAAGCCTTTTCTCCAGTCTTGCGAGTGTCAGATTCTCCAAGCTTTCTTTCCTCGTTAGGTGTTGCAGAAATTGTAGTTTCTATTCTCTTGAAAAAATCCTCATTTATTGCATATTCTATCCATGATATTCTCTCCATTCTTCGATGGAACCATTCTATCATTTGCGATATCTTCTTCATCTGTGAGGAGAATGTCCAGCATTCAATCCAATGAAAGAGGTCAGATATTACAGTTCTTTTTTCTTTGTTTCTACGAACATTTTCACATCTCTTAATACTTCAAGAAAGTTGGTTCACTTTGACGTACTAGAAAATTTTTATTTCCAGAATCTATCTTGTATATCTGTCATCTGCCATTCGTCCATGCTCAGAATATTGCTGCTATATATGGGCCGGTGCACCTGTTATTTACCTGGAGCTCCTTGATAAGATCCAAAAAGAATCACCAATATTATTAGAACTGATCTGGCAATTCGGATTCAGTCACTTTCCCACTGTCTTCAGGTTGCCTCTCTTTGCCGTTTTTATAAATTCATGACCATTAGCAATCTCGTTC